TTTCTGAACTCTCAGAATTGCTTTAATATTTGAATAGTTGTAGATAAAGTATAGTATTCTACTTGCACATAATGACTATTACTTACTCAGATGATTACAGCACTCGCCTCCGGCTCGTATTGCATCTTTCATCTCCGTGGGTAATAGCCATCATTATGCGCTCGTTGAATAATATACTATTTTTTCGTGATTAATACGCTATTTTTTTCTGTGACAGGAAAAAAGATATCGGAATATTGAGATGAACTCACCTAATGAAACCATAATCTTTTATAGGATATAAGCATCAGGAGAATACATTTTTAGTTCTCTCTGATAGCTCAGGGTATGGTAATGACAATTCAAAATTCGTGGCAGTTGCTTGCACTTAATGGTGGGAAAGTGAACTTGCATGTATTTCTCCTCTCAGCAGATTCGCATGAAACTCAATTATTTGGTTAGTTTCAGCGTTACCCAAAAAAGACTGTCTGTGCAAGAGTTTCAATCAGTGTGTACACATAAAGTATGATGTATTGAATATCAGAGAATGTCTCTATTTTCATCAAAGAAGGTATAATATGTGACAACCTACACTGTTTGAAATTAGTTGTCACTCTCAACAACTTCGTTTATTGTTGAAAATATTTTGATGAATTCATCAACATGTTTTTGATACTTCTACACTACAACAATAACTTCCCATTTTGTTGTCAATGGTATAAGTTGTTAATGTACAAGCTTCCATTCAAAAATCAACTGGAAGGCCATTCTAGAAGAGGAATAACAAAGCTATATCTGAAATGCCAAGATACCTTTTATTATATCCTATTTTTATGTTGAAATTTTATCAAGAACACCTAGTTTCTATATCGATAAACATTTCATGAGATTGTCTAAATGACAATAAACAATACCACAAAGTGAAATTAACAATTGCGATGATTGTAAATTATTGAATCTACCTTCACATAAATGTTGATACATCATTAGTCGAATGCTATTTCATCAAATTATGTGCGAGATTCATTGACAACTTCCACAATTTCAACAATAGTTTGAGTCTGGTCATACACATTCTCTCGATACTTACGACTCGATCTCTTTCGGAAATGATCGTGTTAATGACTACACGATCGTTGGTAAAGGCGATGGACCGATGGAACTCGAAAATATTCATTTCATTAGGATCATAATAATCGAACTGTAAGAAGACTGAATGCAGATGGTCCGGTTTCTGTCATTTTCATAATGAAACCATAATGAAACCATATAATCGATGGATTGACCTATTTTTTCATTTGCTCTTATGACGAGTCCTCTGTTTGCAAGATGTGGAGGTAGACGTCAACTATCAAATTCAAAAGAGTTAGTTGTATGTCAACAGTTTGGGAAGAGAAGATGAAGAATAGTTTCACTAGTTCAATCCGATATAAAATTTTCTCTCCCATTCACAGGACAAGTTTTGTGTATTCATTCATTCAGAATCATTCGAGATAGAAGAAACTTGGGCCGAGGATAATGACAGACTATTTTTTCAAACCATTATGATGTAAGTTATACAAAATATACGGTGATTGTCCTGCACTGATAAGGGTCAAAGAGTTCGAAACCGGTCTGTATGTTTCTAGCGTGGCCTGGCTATATCGAAATCAATAGACATCCGGAAATGAATCACTTGAATCAGTATTCGTTTGGGAGTCGATGCATAGATTTCGGGAAGATGTATATTTGGTAGTTGTAATTTTCATTTGTTGATATATCCTCTTCTATATTGTACTGATGTTCTTTCATCCCAACAGAGAGAGTTATTTTCTGCCAGATAGCATCATGTCATTCGTAGAACGCTCGTAGTATATTCTCGAAAAAAGAATATTTGTACGTTGTCAGAATATTCATAGAGTATTTGGTTTTTGTACCTTCATTATGACATAATTCACGAACAGCTATACTGTATATACAATATTCTGATGATTGTTTCTCATTGCTTGGTTTCGTTCGAGTAAGAAATCCTTTCATTATATTTTCGAGCATTATTTTCAATATTCACGATAAATACAGATATAGGTAGAATTTTTTTATAGTTCAATACTTATTCGATCTCTTCAAACATTCACCAAACACGGTGTCACTGGTTATCGATTGAATTTTTCTCTTAGGTTTCCAATAAGGGGAATTCAAATCGAAGTGGTATTTCGGTAGGTATATTGAAATAGTACCAAAAATCTAGAGGAATTATTTTCAAATTGATCGGTTTACCATTGATTGCATTCTTCATCTCCGAGTTTCAATTTCTGAATACTGGAGTATCTACAGTGTGGTCATTTGAGTGTGCAACATATGGGAATCTTTTTAATGAATTGCGCAACCAGAATACCGATAGTGCCAAAAGTTGGTGCATAGAATGGTTGTAAGTCATACAGCATACAGGGTAGGTCAAAAAATATAAAAATTGTTCAGGAGTAAAGTACCCTCATTTCAGAACATTCAGCAGAATGTTATCGAGAAAAGTTGTTAACAATATTGAAATTTATGCCTGAATACCAAAACAAGGCCTCCTCAGACATTTTTTAGTATTTCAATTTTTTTCGTTGATAATTTTCCAATTTGTAATATTTCAAATACAAAATGTGCACATTGAATGGAAGTTTTTGAATATGCATATTATCATTAATTATGTTTCACCTTATTTAAAATATGGTTTGCAAAATTTTAAAGTTCAGCTGAATATCGTTGCAACAAACATAAAAGTTTGTGATTCCCTGAAAGAATCAAAATCCAAGTTAATTGCGCAAATATGCTCTAATTTTCACAAAGAAATGCTCTACCGATTTTGTTATGATTAACTCATGGTAGTATTCAGGTTGAATATATAAAAAAAAATACAAATTGGGAGATTATTCACGAACAAAATTGAAAAACTAAAAAATGTCTTACGAGGCATTGGTTTGGTATTCAGGCATTAGTTCCAATTGTTAACAACTTTTCTCAATAACATTTTGCTGAAATTTCTGAAATAGGGTACTCTACTCTTGAGCGATTTTTATATTTTTTGACCTACCTTGTATGCTGTGTGACTTACAACCATTCTAAGTGCACCTAAGATGCCAAACATGCACCAACTTTTGGCTTCATCTGTGTTTTGGTTGTGCAATTCATCAAAAAGATTAAATACTGTCTGTATGTTAATCGAGGAGGTGGTACATTCATTATTCCAAATTTTTTGGGATTTTCTCTCCTCGTTTCTATAAAGTAAAAATATGACTTTATAGAAACGAGGAGAGAAAATCCCAAAAAATTTGGAATAATGAATCAAAAAGATTCCCATATGTTGCACACTCAAATGACCACACTGTATAAGAGATATTGCCAATACCAATTTAACGCACTGTGAGTCGAACAATAACAGGAACAGCAGGGAATCGAGTAATGGGCCGAGAAAGTGATTTGAATATTAGTGAGTGGCGGAAAAATCTCGGACCGCTCGCGTGTAGAATGTTAATCCGGAGTTTCGTTGGAGTGAGAATTCCGGAACGTTTTTTCATTATGTCTACTCTTTTGGGTCGTACCAGAATCCGTGATTTAATTTTGTTCTCGTCTCATTTGTTTTCGGATCTCGTGCATACCCAAATATCTATTATTCGTGTCCATGGGGATATAGCAGAAGATGCAAATATATGTACATGATAAACAAAGCTAGAAACATAGTGTTTTCTACGATTATTCACAATTCATTCTGAAAACCAGAAGCATTACCTGCATCCTGAGCTCATATCAATTTCTAATCACATCCTGATGTCTGTGAAACTTGAAATAGATACTATTTCGAAAATGAAATTGATCACACGATGTTTGTTCAGTGGCGAAGTTATGCAACCAATTATGGCCCTGGGGCAAATCAAAAAATTGAGCCCCACTGCTATCTCAACGGTTAGGTTCTATCAAAACGTTTGCTAACATCCCTTCGCCTATCACTATATTGACCAGTGCTAAAAAGTTAATTGACATTATAGCTTACTCACTCCTGATGCAGCATTTATTATCCAATCGTTCTCGAAAAATATATCTACTCGAAGTCACAAAAAAATGCACTTTGATGAATGATGAAACGCAGTCTCTGAGCAAGGGCATGAACATAATTAGTCTATAGCCGTTTCGTCCTACACACATCAGAAAGAACAGTATCTCCGTTGATTCAGAACCATCCTTACCAGGTTGTATCTATGATCTCATGAAACAGTGTCCTGTCAGCAGTTCTGTAGAATTTGCAGATCATTCCTGATTCTTTTTCGATGGCTTATTAGGCAAGACCGCCTCCAAATTAGTCAACAATAGTAATTAAAACATGTGAGTGAGTTTTTTCCTTTCCAAAATAGTTTTTTTAGACGCAGTCCTGGTGGGTGAGAATTTGAGTTAGTATGGTTGTGGTTCCATGAACACAGATATTTATAAAGAGAGTGTCAGCTTTCTTGTTGCTTATCTTCCCTGGTGTCTTGGTGTACCTACATCAAGGTAATAGTATCAGTTAACTTTCTGGCTTTCAATTCAATTGCGGGAAAATATTCACATCATTGCAATACTTGTATTTCCTGAATTTGTTTCATAATTGGAGAACGCTTATGATCGTCTATTCCTGGTATACCTTTGAGGAACATGGTAAGGACTCATTGACACTAATTTTGGTGACTCAAAACAGCTCGTTAATATTTTGTAAATGATAAGTGAATCACTGATGGTTCTACGCTGTTCGAGATTTTCTATCTTGTAGTTGGTACGAAGTTCACTTATTCCTGTTATAACATATTATTATATATTAGTCATTTTGAAATGGAGGAATCTTACGAATCGATTCTGAAGCCTTTCTATATAATCGTACTCCATGTATGTTATAAAATGGGTTCCATCTGACTGTGAAAGTGATTTGAATATTAGGGAGTGTGGGATTTTATTCTGGAGTTTCGTTATAGTGAAAAATTCGGCAACTGCTCCATGTTCCTGTTCATAACTTTGGTTTACGATCTTACCAGGATTTGTTTCTTCATTTCCGAATCATCATAGTACTAATGGGTCTACTGGCCCCAACAATAATTAATAGACCCATCAGGGTACATGACCACCGACCACCATGAGAGTAGTGAAAAACTGTATCGAAATTATATACAGGGTGTCTGTAAGAGGTCTTTTCAAAAACATAACACATATTCCCTAGACCAAAATAAGTCGATTCAAGTAAAATTACCCCAGTACAAAGTTGCATCGTTTGGGCTCCAGAGGGCCTTGAAGTTCCAATTTTTAAATCGTTTTTTCCATATAAATTTAAAACGGCATATGCGATTTTGCTGAATGAAATTTGGTATATTGATAGAGTTTTATGTGGCAAAAAAATGTTAAAATTTTGTCCGATAATAAAACATAGGCGTAGAACTTGATGTTTTAAATAATTGCACCTTTGAAAATTCTACGCCAATGGAAGAAAAGGAGTTTGAGTATGAAATTTAGATTGCGCAACTCATTTACTTTAAAAAAGGTACTCCTGATATAACTCGATTGCTCTCATGGTTTTGACGAAATTTGCATTTTAGTAATTTTAGAACATAAACAATAATTATTAAAATACAAACTTTGTCAAAACCATGAGAGTAAATCGAGTGTTATCAAGGGTACTTTCTTGTAGTAAATGAGTACCCAATCCAAATTTCATACTCAAACCATTGGCGTAGAATTTTTGAAGGTGCAATTATTTAAAAAATCAAGTTCTACGCCTATGGCAGAAAAGGGGTTTGAGTATGAAATTTGGATTGGGTACTCATTCACTACAAAAAAGTACCCTTGATAACACTCGATTTACTCTCATGGTTTTGACAAAGTTTGTATTTTAATAATTATTGTTTATGTTCTAAAATTACTAAAATGCAAATTTCGTCAAAACCATGAGAGTAATCAAGTTATATCAAGAGTACCTTTTCTGAAGTAAATGATTTGCGCAATCTAAATTTCATACTCAAACTCCTCTTCTCCCATTGGCGTAAAATTTTTAAAGGTGCAATTACTTAAAAAATCAAATTCTACGCCTATGTATTATTATCGGACAAAATTTTAAAACAATTTTTCTGCCACATAAAACTCTATCAATATACCAAATTTCAGCAAAATCGCATATGCCGTTTCAAATTTATATGGGAAAAACGATTTAAAAATTGAAACTTCAAGGCCCTCTGGAGCCCAAACGATGCAACTTTGTACTGAGGTAATTGCACTTGAATCGACTTATTTTGGTCTAGGGAATATGTGGTATGTTTTTGAAAAGACCTTTTACATACACCCTATATAGTTATCATTGATTGTTTATAATATTTGTCTACTTCTTTCTAATTTTCGCGTGTTGGTTTGGTGAGAATCAGTGGAGAGCTTGAAACAACGTTTGAATAAAAATCATATGGAAATGTTGTTGGGAGGATTCCGTGTTCTCATCTTCCTCAGTATGGGTCAATATTACTGATTACATTACTCCACAAATTGTTTTACTTTGAAGCGAGGTGAACTTGGTTTCTACCTGAAAAAAGGGTTATTATGCTGCTGGAAAATATTACCCCCAAAAATTTCCGTTTCACTCGGCTCATGATCATAATTCATATTTTAATTGTGCTGCGTTGAACTTTTTTTATATATTACCAGCCACATGCTACAACTTGTTTGTTATATAATGAACTCCATAAATTCACCTTACGCCCGCTAAAAATTCATGACTGACTACATAAATTAATAGAGAGATATCAAGGCAATATCCATCCGTTATTTCCACGAGCTGAGCTGGGATAATTCGTATAAAGTGAGATATTACTTCACGATAGTTAGGCCATGAATAATTCATACACTAAACGGGTTCAATGAAGGATTCTGAGATTAAGATGGTGTTGCGGTTTCTCTAAATAATAAGGATAACAAATCATGAAACTCCAAGAACATATTGATTTCAATTCCTGACATTGCATTGTGAGATTTTGCCATCATTCATAGCAAAAATTAATCGAATTTGTACGTCAGAATAATATGATCATTTTTTATTTCACTTAGTTTTTGTTGATTTGGTTGTATTGAGTACATTATTGAGCTATTGATGATGAAAATCTTTCAATGTAGTTTCCTTATGGGAACATTCCACCTTGTTATGGTGTATTTGCGTTTTTCATAGACGTTTTCTGCAATTATCTGTATTTATTGAACGAGCATAATCATTTTCAGAAGAAACGATGTTAGAGATCAATGTCTGAAGACAAGATTTCGGTTGATTCACTCTGTTGCAGATCACCTGATAATGAAACATACTACGGAAGTGAATTCATCTCAGCGCATGTCATACTCACTATTGATTATTTCAAGTCCATTTGTTTAGATTTTGTTAATCACATTTCATCGGTACTTACCCCCAAGGGTTGTGAAATAATCGGAATTAGTGAGGTACTATGAAAAGTATAGTCCGGTTTTCCATTTTCTGTTCTCCCTCCAAATGCTCAATTGTTCCAGAATATACTCGAATCGAACATAGCGTACTGTAAAAATTCAAAATGACCAAGAATACATTGGTTACAAAACTGCGGAGAACTAAAATTTGATGATGTTAAAAACTATCCCAACTATATACGGCATCCTGGTTGACTGCGTCAGTAACTCCAATTTTCAAAAAGGGTAAATAGTAAATAGCCAGGAAAGTAGTTGTTTTCTGTTGAATATTCAGAATGATGTATGCATATACATATTATTTTTGGAAGTTTTCAAGCTCATCAAGATCAGAGTTTATGCCAGTATACAGTCTGTCCAAGATAAGGTTGAACAGCATGGGGATCTCGGAAACGGTAGGAGATACGGAGTCGTTTAAATGGGGAAAAAGTTGCGCATTCGGAGGCTCATATCAAGAGCCTTCGAAAATTTTCGAAATTATTTTTAGTTTTTGAGTTATATCGAAAAAAGTGAATTTTTGGAATATCTATTTTATTTTTTTTCTCCTTTATTATTAGATATACAGAAGAACTGAGAATACTTTATCATAGCAACTTTTGATGAAGTTTAACGTGGTAATACCGATTTTTTCATGCGACGTTTCGTATCCGTAGAACCATCATCAACTTTTGTTTTTTAAATACGGTTCTGATAATTTTTTCAGAGATTCTGAAAGGTTTTTTTATTCTGAATTCAACCATGTATTATACAAGGTGATTCGAATGTGTTTCGACCTATTTCTATCCATCATCAATGTTTTTTCGAACTTCCGAAGGAAAAAAGCCATCAGTTCCACTCATTTCTGATCATACAGTGTCAACTTGATGGATAAGTTATTCAATACCTACTGAAAAATGAATGAAGAATATTTCACTACATCATTCGATCAATGCAGGGCTTAAAATTGTTGATGAATTCTTACACGAATTACTTTAACAACCTAACTTTGACAATACCTACAAAGACATTCATAACAAATGTTCAAAATAATAACCATTATTCTCTGAACATAGATATCCTCTTCTCACAGTTGCTTCTGAGACATTACTAAGCACTTCTGGGGTTATTCTATTGAATGCTTCGAAGACACTGTCCCTTAGTTCTTCTTCATCATCAAAGTTATTTGCGTACACAAAGTTTGATATATTCCCTAAGAAAAAATCCAGCTGTGTCAAATCAGGTGACCGCGCTGGCCAAGGGACTGTAGAATGAGTACCAATCCATTTTTCTGGATGAAAACGCACGGACTTCTCTGGAATTATGTACCGGCGCGCCATCTTGTTGAAACTAACCGTTCTGAACTTCCGCAATCGGTAAATCATCCAGAGCTTCCTCAAGATGATTCTCAAGACAATTTCTATAACTTTCGGAAGTCTGTGTTTCATAGTGAATAGAAGGACCAATAATTCGTGTACCAAATATTGCAACCCACATATTAAAGCCGAGACGGTGTTGGTGTCTCACTGTAATGTATAAATGTTCATTCTCTCGTAAACAATAATCTGTATTTTTACTATCGAAGATACCATGATTAGTGACCATGCTTTCATTAGTCCAGATGATTGTTCGAGGGAAATCTGCAAAATTTTGACATTTCCTGGTATACCACTCACAGAATGTCCTGCGCGTTTCCTCATCGCTTGGTTTTAGCGCTTGACATATTCTGAATTTGTATGGATTGAATTTTTGTTTTCGCAAATAAAATGGGTTGTTGATTGAAATCAGTTGATGAGGTATTAGTGTGTTGATTTCCTTCAAAATAAGTGGAACTGATGGCATTTTCCCTTTGGAATTTCGAAAAAACATTGATGATGGCTAAAAGTAGGTCGAAACACACATGAACCACCTTGTATAATACATGGTTGAATTTAGAATAAAAAAACCTTTCAGAATCTGTGAAAAAATTATCAGGGCCGCATTCAAAAAACAAAAGTTGATGATGGTTCCACGAATACGAAACGTCGCATAAAAAAATCAGTATCACCACGTTGGACGTCATCAAAAGTTGCTAAGGAAAAGTATTCTCAGTTTTGCTCTATATCTCATAATAAGGGAGAAAAAAAATAAAATAGATATTCCAAAAATTCACTTTTTTCGATATAACTCAAAAACTAAGGATAATTTTGGAAATTTTCGAAGGCCCTTGATATGAGCCTCCGAATGCGCAACTTTTTCCCCATTTAAACGACTTCGTATCTCCTACCGTTTCCGAGATCCCCATGCTGTTCAACCTTATCTTGGACAGACTGTATATACTTCTCCTATACATTCCAATTTTCATTTCAATGCTGAATATATTGGGGAGTTATATTTCTTTATCATTATACATCATATTATTCATCCGATTTGAAGAAGAATGTCAATTCTCAATTTCGGAGGATTTTATTCTTTATTTTTCATGTTCTCCTTTCGAATGTTCATCAGATATAATTCAATGTTCGACGGGGCAAATAGCCAGGAAAGTAGTTGTTTTCTGTTGAATATTCAGAATGATGTATGCATATACATATTTTTGTCTGAAGGAGAATGCAAATTCTCAATTTCA